ATATTTACTATAATTTACAAACAGTTTAATTGTCTTCGATATGGTTTCCAAACGTCAGACCATTTAATATCCTTTAGCGTAATAGACGGCGGGGATTGAGTGGCTTCGGGGGGCCGAACGATCCTATAAACCACATTATTCATATCAGAATAGTGGTTAAAAAATCTATTTTGACAAGGCAACTAATCGACATTATAAAGTATAAACCAATAATTGAAGTTAATTGTGTCAAGAATAAATTAATTTTTAATTTCATGTCATAACTTATTGCGGAATTTTTGGTTTTATCTAATATTAACTTTCAATGAATATTAAATACCATTTATTGGTAATAAATATTCATTTATGAATACTGTAGTCATAACTGCTTTAATGCATGTCTTGAAAGTTGAGATGAAGAATAAGGTTATCCCAAGAGTTAACGTTTCTGTTCGTGCGATCCATTCATTACAGTTATATACACTAAATGATAACCATTTGCTTATTTACATTAATTTTGATTATATTTAAAGATTAAACACATTCTGTACTCAAAATGAAATAAAAATATAACCAAATGTTTCCAAATATTTATATCAATTGTAAGTCAATTAAAACGGAGGTCAGTATCTTTTGTAATGATTATATATATTTTATTTTAACTTCGAAATGTTCCAAATTAACTAATTGGTTAATTTAAATTAGTTAATTTTTATTAATTTAAAACTAATTTATTGTATTTATTAATAAATTTTATAACAAACAAATTATAAATATTTTAAATCTACATTTGAAATAAAAAACAAAATATCCAAACAGTTCTAATAATGAGTGAAAACTTAACTTATTTAACAATTTGATAACCATTTAAATGTGATTTATTATATAAACCATGAATTAGTTATTGCTTCGAAAACCTAATGTAAAAAAGTATACAAATTGTTAGTTATTGTAAATTGCAATTAAGTGTTGAATTACTGACAAAAATATAGTCAGATCTTCGATATCGACGAGAACCGAGTCCTGCGACATATATAGCTCATCCCTCTTCACTAATTGTTGCATCAATTCTGTGTTTAAACCTATTATATAATTAATAAGTGAATCAAAAATACAATACTAATGTATAAACATACCAAGGGCACAACTATAACTTATAAAACACCTAACATATAAAGTTTATGGCATAACTTACTTTCAATTTGTGAATACATATCATTAACAATGATCTGCAACTGAGAGACATTCAATTCTTTTAAGAGACTTTTTGAGAGTTTATTTTTTCTTAATTTATATTTAATCGGAATATTAATTAAGTTATAAACTGATGAACGACTTTCATTCCGATCTCTTTCCACTTCTATTTGCTTTTTCACAATTTTTTTCACCTAAACATTAAATTTGTAATTTATATAATCCATAATATATAACAATGAATACGGAATGCCATACCTGTGCCAAAGCAAGTCTGGCTTCGGTGTGAAGTTTTGAATGATAGTCACTAAACAATTCCTTTTTGGGTGGCTTTTCTATAACTGAGAATAAATCATAATTCTTGAGATCAATAGATCCGGAGTCTAATCGTGTAAATAAATGATTTGGTCGATTCATATTTGGTGAAGAGATATTAATTGCATTCAACGAATCGCTTATATTCAATGAGCTATTATTGTTTGGACTCGTCTTTGGAGGGTTTGTGTCGGTTGTCATTACATAGGAATTGTCTAAAACGGGATTAGTTTTGCAACTGTTGTCCTCAATAGTCTCTTCATTTTGGTAATCGCTTTCCTATTAATAATGAAAAGTCAATTGAATGACAGAATACAGAATATATGCAAAAAACAATTAATTTACTCGAAGGACGGAATCACTGGTCGTCTCATTCATGAAACAAATTTGTAAACTCTGGCCGTTTTGAAGACGACTCATAAGACTTGATTTGCGTGAAGATCTAAAGCCAGACATATCTTCACTGTCAGAATCTAATGCCAAACGACGTCTAATGTCTTCCCTGTCGTGAAACTAATAACACAACGAAATGAGAATTTTGTCACCCATTGAGTGGTCGTCACAATAATACCGATAATGAATGAGTGGATCTTTCCATTGACTTATATTTGTTTCTCGAATCAAACGCATCGAAAGTCCTATTGAAGGCTTCCATGCGATCCATACTTAATATCACAATCAAATGTGACAATCAGTGACTTCACTCACATCTAATCTCTTCATAAATTCAGTGCCCAATAGTTCACTCAAAGAACACTCCCATTCAAAATCTCTCTCTCTCTCTGTGCTAACAATTGATGAGTACTGTATATAACTGTAGGTCTGAGACAAACGACGCAAACAGAGCACAGTTTTGGTTGACTTTTGGCAAAATTGCTCTCTAAGTGAACCCAAAGAGAGGAGACTTGACATGGATTTTGCGCCAACACTTCATACAAATTCTAGTGCTAACAAAAGTGGCAACAAATACAATAAATGACAACATATTTCAAAATAAAATCAAAATTTCATTTTAATTAATTTCTCGTAAATCGAAATAATTTTTGAAAAGATTAGAAATTCCCATAAAAACGACACAATTTTCCATCCATTAATCAATAGTACAATAATTAGTCCTAAATATCGGTATCAAATAAGCAGATAATGGGTTAAACTTTCTCCTCGTCGAGTCCGTGTTTGAAGAACATCATAACCGGTGTTTCGCCCGAACCGTCCTCTTTCTCCCGGTATTCCAATAGACCGACCATTCCGTCAGGATTTGTGCTCTCGCCTGAAGTGGGCGTTAAGTCCATATGTTATACCATTTTGACGACAAATCATGGCTAAGAGTCTTATGTCTTAGCCTAAGACATACCCAAAAAGAATTGATAGTCTCCTAACTTTGGTAACACTTTCTTCACCGCTTCCGTCAGTTTAGTCTTCGCTGTATTGATCTCGTCTTCGCTGAACTCCAATTCCTTCCACTTATCCTGAAGTCTGAAAAAGCAATCAAAATGTTAATCAATTGAGACATAAGTGTCAGACAACGGGTTTAGCGATAGAGACATACGATTTTGTATAAGTCTTTAAATAGTTTTTGTAATCAGATTTGGAAAAACCGGTTTCGACGAGCCGTTGGTTGAGTACGAGATCGAGACCGGACTCCACCTGTTCATCGGTTCCCTCATCCGCTTCTTCGGCCGACGCGTTAAAGCCCGCGATCTCTATTTCGCCCTGTTTTCGGGTCACGTGCTGTGGGGTCAACACCAATGGGGGGTCATTAGGGGTGTAAACAAGGTGTTGGTGTCATTGTCTTACCCGACACTCCACTTCCCACAGACATCCGTCAACGAGTCTTACTTTGGATGAATCGGTGAACAGTTCATCACCTGATGGGCGACAACAGTGCCATTAATATCATATAACAATCACATCCAAGCGTTACCTGTAATCAAATCCTTGAAAATAATCATCTTTTTTGCGGTCAAATGAACGGAAAGTCGATTCAATTGTTGAGTGAATTTGTGTTAAACGACACAAACATGTGATGAGAGACCCAATGATAGGCGGAAAAGGAAATGTCACTCAAATGCCAGTCCTTTTATAGGGCTTTCAAACGCTATTGTCGTGCCATCTATTGTACAGTCATGTAGTCATCCATACATTTCTTCGTCTAAAAGTTGATTAAAAGTTTATTTTTACTGATTGTGTGATTACTGATCGATCGTATGAACCAATTATCGCTTCACGTGTTTTATATTGCATTTGTATATTAACGATGAATTTATAGATAATTTACTGATTATAAGTTTCCATAAAACTATTTCCTAAAATATATCTCAAATATTTGAGTAAATTATTTGCAAACTTTTTAAAACTTTTGAATTTTACTTGACTTTAAAGATTAATTAATGTGACTAATGAATGTTAAAAGATTGATATGAATTATAAGTTAAAACTTATACATTGTTTACAATAATCTATAAAATATGTAAAACACAATTTTAAGACTCTTTAAGACGTTTTTGACTCAATTACGGAAAAAATGATTTAAATAAAGAAATGACAAGAATTGCTGGAAAATTGGTTTATTTAATATTTGATTGGTAAAAGAAATCACAATATTATTACATATTTATAATAAACTAAAAATATTACAAATAGTTTATATGTTTAAAAA